GTTAAAAATTATATATTCTTGTCTTTTCAGTCCTTCCTCTTTACTTTACTTTTACCGAAGCAGGGAGGGTTTAGAGATTAGGTTAGAGTAAACCCTTAAGCAGTGACGCCCTGTAGGCATAATCAAAGAAGATTGTAAAGATTACGCTATGAAACTCCGTCCGACGCTTGGAGCAGAATATTCATCGATGGTCAAGGAAAAGAAGTCCATTGTTGCGAAAAACTTGGCCCTTTCAGTATCCATGGCTCTCGGTCTGTCCTGCAGTAGTGTGTCACTGATATATTTACGCGATGGTAGCTGCAAACGGTTTCATGAAATACTCCAACGGTTTACATTTCATTAAATTTACAATTACATTGGTAACTTTAGAGCAGCAGCGGCACATGTGCCTAAAACTAAAAACGAAACACAAGTAAACACTAGCAGGGAAATTAAACTTACTTCGTATGGATTACAGGTGAAGGCGATGAACTTCTTGAATGATTTCTTCTCAACAATATTGAATGGTAGAAATTCGGTGACGATCATCTCCAGCAGCAGATGATTTGCCCGATTTTTCATATCGGTAGTGAATTTGCCCGTGCCAATCGCTAAATTCCTCTGTACCACAAAGTCTTCCATTGAAGTTTGCTTTTGGGGTGCCTCCGAATTTTCTTCAAAGAAACACAATAAGCACCAAGGTGTCGCACAATAAGCATACATATTTGAGGTCAGTGCAAACTGAGTTGAAAATTGAACTTTGAAAATCCATGAAATCCTCACCTGAGGTTAAATCTCGCTTTGATGCTTTGTGGATGCCGCGGTCTTCCGTGCTCAGAACGATGTTGTGTATGTGGGACAAATGGTCTATCATTCCTGTAGCTGATGATCTCGCGCGCCCTCCATATGCCAATTCTTTGCAACATCTTTCTACTTTACACCGAACAATATGCGTCATCCCTCTCGTACCAGCCTGGCCACCCCTTGCTTCATACTCCGTAAAATATTTCCAAACCTTACTTTTTTTTCCAGACTCATGGACCAGGATCAACCACTCATATCTTTCCGCTGTTCCTTTAATCCAAGACACGTTGTCCTCTTCACGCGAGCGGTTCCTTTCGCTCGCGCCCTCCTTGTCATCATTACTGTCGATTACTTCCGTTTCCTTGCCGACGTCCTTTCCTTTTTCTGCGCACATTCTAGAAGAATATATTACGTTCGATTAAAATGTCCGTCAGTACAAAACAATACAACAGCAAAAAACGTTAAAAGAAACAACCGATATCTACAACTACAGAAGCCTTTAAGAGAAATAATCGACGTCTACAACTACAACGTTGCAAACAACACAAGGTTAAACGAGAAACAGCCATCGAGCAAAAAAGAACAAATATCTACAGAAAGCAATCTGGTACCCGCACAATTTGCCTAAAGACGTTTTGCCTAATGACAGTTTGCCTAACGGGCAGCTTCGGTGGTTACCGACAGGTCGGTGATTACTGGAACTCGGTATTCACCGACCGCATAATTTTGAGCGTCGGTCGGTTTCGGTTCGGTTGTAACCGCGGAGCGATTTGCCACGGTCACCGACCGAGCGAGCCTTGTCGGCTGCGGTCGGTAATCACCGACGGGTCGGTAATCGCCGCAACTCGGTATTCACCGACGGTCGGAGACTACCGCAAAACCGTCGGTGATTATCGACCGATTTTCGGTGATCAACGACCGTCGGTGAATAAAACATATTTTGTTGAGCAATTCTGCTTTCTTGAGGAGATATGGCTATTTTCATAAAGCTATATCAACAACAAGCGCAAAATCGCTCATTCATATAAGTTCTATCACTATTAATCAATATCAGTACGTTAGTATGGCTTTATAGAGGTCACCATGTTCAAGATACCGATACTCTCAGGTTTG